AAACACATGAAGAAGTTCTGCAAACACCAACAGGCAGCGTGACTCCAGAGATTCACTGGAAGGACAAGCAGGAGGATTTACAGCAGAGACTCAGTGATCTGCTCAGGATGGGGGTTAGCTGAGATCAATCTGCCTGCACAACACTGCCCCCTGGTGGCGGATCAACAAAGCCAAGCTGCTTCTGATGTTCTTTAATTTCTAGAATATTAACAGTTCTCGTGGTTCTTCTACAAACATTGACAGATTTTTCACGATGAAGCTATAAGTCTTCAATCATTCTGGTCCAACATTAATATCTGCATCAAAATAAATCATTTTTATCTTGTTCTCACTGTGGGTTCCAACTCTCATCTCCCCTTTGTTATGCAGAGATTTAAAAACCGCATGAATTGGGCCTACGAATACATGAGGCTGTATCAATGAATAACACGAAGCGCGACACGCTCTGTAATGTGTGAGTTGAACTGCTGACTGAGACTTCCTGGTGATGCTTTTCTGACTGGAGCTCACTTGAGGCTGGGAGCGACGGTTCACTGAAAAATTGTCAAAGAAAAGCAGAACAGGTCACGTTTATGAGAAACCTCTTTGCAGCAGTTTAATTTCACTATGAAAATGTGGAAAAGTCCAACCTATAATCCAGTGCATTCATTCAGAAGAAGGAGAAAATCCTCTGTTTAAAAACTGGGAGACTAGAAATGACTATAAAATGGAAAGGAAACTTCAAAAATGTACATTTTCCTTTAAAAAAAAATTTAAAATTGGGGTACTAAGTGCTATACATAAAAATACAAAAATGAAAAGTCACCAATTGTGAAACCAGTAACAAACATTACATTTTGTCAAGTGCCATCATCAAAATCACCAATAAACATCAACTAAATGGACAATTTCCCATTTATTAAGGTTTAAAATCAGCACTAAACAGCTGGGTGTTCTGTCTTGATTTAAAGGAATTCAGTGTTTCGGCTGTTTTGCAGTTTTCTGGAAGTTTGTGTCGGATTTCTGATGCATAAAATCTGAATGCTGCTTCCCCGAAACTCCCAGGCCTTTTCCAGTTGGTGAACTTTTCACTTTCATGGCTGAAAGTCCGACTCTGACTAAACTCTAATCCTAATGACAAACCACCTTGAACTGTTAAATGTCAGGTTGTTTACTGCTCTAATCCGGCTGTAACCGGGAACTTGGACAGGACGTCCTCTGCCCATTTGTACTCTAGCAAACTGGACGTTGAGTCTTTCACAAACAGAAAGCGTTTCAGACTGCAGGGCCTCAAGTGCTGCTGGGAATCTGCAGCGGCTGGGAGAATTAGGCCACTGTGTCACATCGTCTCAAACTGTTTTGTGGTACAAATAATGGGGACCTACAATAGAAAAATCAAATTTTGCATATTTTTGTACTTTCATTTGGGCCTCAAATGCATCTAAAAGGGATTAAAAAACCCACCAAGCCATAATGTGTTTGGTTTCAACAAGAAGTACATTGTTTACCCGCGAGCCAAGCTAGTTTTCCCGCTTTATGTGTTGTACAATGGCTGCTGGAAAAGACAAGCATTTTGATCTTGACTTACCATCCGTAAACCACTTAATGCATTCTTGTTGGTTGTGAAGGAGGCTCCGCTTTTCAAACATGTTCATTTGCTTAATTGCGCCTCAGTTTGCAGTCATTTTCAGTTGTTAACGATGAGTTTGGGTTGGCGTGGCCAGCAGCAGATTAGTTGGATTCAAGAAGAAGAAGAGAGCTGCCTTTGTCTCCAGGGGAAGCTGGGATGCCAACAGTTAGGCGCCCTGCAGACAGAGGAATTAGATCAGTTAGAAACCCAACCCAGCCCCCTTCACGCCGATTGCTCCCCTCCTCCTCCTCCTCACTTCGTGCCCTTACCGTCGGAGAGAGGCTCTGAGACAGGCTGACACCACCTCACAACGTTTTAAAAGGTAATTGAGCCTCGCAGCCCACGCCGCTAATTTGTGTGAGACTGCCCGGTATAGCCGGCAGAGTGACAAAAACAGAGGGAGGACTGTTGGGGAGAATGACTTCCTCAGACACAATATGTTAATTGGCCCTCTACAAGTGACAGCCGTAGTATTAAAAAACGAGAAAAGGGGGAAAAAAAAAACACAAAGCAGAGGGAGTTCGAAGGATCTCGCCGGAAAGGGCACGGTCAGAAAATATGAAAAGGGTCCGTCTCTGCAAGACAGAAAATAGTGCCGATTTCAAAGATTAGCACAAGTCGCTTCACAAAGTTGTAAAAAAAAAAAAAAAAATCAGGGATTTAATAGTGGAATGAAAGGCTAAGGGATAAGAGATAGTGTTTGTGGTTTTGGAGGAAAACTTTAACCTGAAAGATGGCCGCCAGACTCAAGGAAGGCCCTTTAAGAGAAAGCAGGGATCTGACCCTGCTTTAAAGCCAAGAACTTTATTCCTTCAAATGCCAGCACTGCTGGGACTGAACAGTTTGTCTAGAGCCTGAGTTATGAGGAAGACGCCCCTATGAATCAACCCCGGTACCTTTGTGGCCTTCGGCCCAGTAATATCCATATCTCCTCACTTCCCTGTGATCAATAATGAGGCAACGCTCTTGGAATATTTGTTGAGGTCACGCCAAAGAGAAGCTGAATGGATAACTACACGTAGATTTATTTATTTTTTGAAAACAGCAAAGATACATCTGACTGAAAGGCTTTGTTGGTAGTAAATAGATGGTAAATTTTGTCTCGTTTATCAATCTACTGGTTGATTTTTCTGTCTGTGAAACCATTTCTGATCGTATTTAAATATATTTTGGGTCATTAAAAGGAAAATATAATGCAAAATGTACTTTTTTTTTAAGGTTTACATATGTTATAACGCTATTCTGTGTTGCTTTGACTCTTTCATGCATGTTTTAGAAAGCATTTAATCTCCATGGCAATCATTTAGCTGTGCAAAACGCCTGAGTGGGCCTAGCCCCGCCTTCGAGGACAAATATATACATATATAGCATTTACTGGTACATGGGTAGTATCTAAGTGTGTTTTCAGACCTGGTAATCTGATAGACTTGCACCATGTTGCAACATTTGTTACATTTTCAGCTGCTGTAGTTTGCGTTCGCACTGCCGAATCAATCATATCAAACTAAATGAAAAGCTTGTCCCCTTCTTGCCTGTGGGGGCGCTGCACCAGGAACCATTGTGGTAAATGATACAAAAACCACCAAAGAAGACAATGAGCGCAACTTCACAAAATGTAAACAAAAATGGAGTAGCGTCAGGCTGTAGCGGTTTTGTTTTTAGTAAAAACAGAAGTAATTTCTCCAGCTAGCGCTAGCCTGGCACTTTTGTTTTGGTTGAATTTACCCAGAATGCTCGGCACTTTAGTCCGCTTTGGAGCATTTTGTGATCCACTTGGCGTTATTCAAACCACACCAGAGTTCACTTCAACCAAGCTGAAACCAAGAATTATGGGTGGACCAGAGTTTGATTTGGCTCTCTTCCTTTCACAACTTTGCTATATTTAGTCAAATTTAATAAATTAGATAAAAGCTTTTTTGGATGCAGCAAAAAAGTCTGTGAAGAACATAGTTTTACCGAATATAAAAGCTAGGATAGAGAAAGAAGAATATTTTGTGTCAGAAGTAGCATTTTTCATTGTAAGTAAATTATGTTGAAAAATAAGAAGCTCGAGAAATGAATTTGTATTCATAGTATGATGTTGCCACCACCGTGCTTCACTATGAGTAATTTTAATGAGATACTTTTGTCCTGTTTCAAGTCTTTCTCATAATCATGGCTTTTGTTTTACTAAAAGAAATTATGTCTCTACAGTTAATGGCAGCAGAACCATTTAAAAGATATGCATATTTATGCTCCTTTGTGTCGTTTATCATCAGCGCCTGTCACGCAGCGAGACAAAAGCCACAACATGCATCCGGGGCTGAGCTTCCTGCGTCTCTGCCTTGCTGCCATGGATGATTCACGCCCCACTGGGGGGAAAACAGAGGGTTACTAACTAGGTCCTCCAAAGGCACCAGATGTCAGTGATTAATCTTGATGAAGTTGGGACTTCGCGTCTCCCAAGCTGTCTCCAAACCTGCTGCTTAATGACCCCTTGCCTCTGTTTTATCAGCCCATTTTTTAGCCTTTATATCATCCTCAGCGCGGAAGGTTTTGTATGCAGATGTGTGGCGACTGGAGAGGAGGCAATTGGAAAGCAACTCATTGTCTGCAGCATCTCACACACACTAACACGCACACGCATGCACGTTCTGCAGAAAAGTTTGCCACTGGAAGAGAGATCTGAGGAACAAAAGAAAAGCTTTTTTTCTCTTTCTGGGATGCATTTATATTTAATTTATTTATTTTTTTTTGCCCCTCGCAGGAGGTGCAGATTTTCATTTTTGTGAAAGCTTTGTGTGGCGAAAGAAAGACAGAATAGCAGTCATTTGTTATAAAAAAAAACCCCAGAAAAAACCCACCAACAGTAAATACAAGTCATCATTCATTCCTGAAAGCCTGACTGATATAATAGAAGACAATGTAATTTAGAAATATGAAAAAAACATCAGCCTAATCATGAAATACTAACTCAGAAGTTGGGATGATTGATGTTTAGGTGAGTGGTGGAGTTCACTCAGAACAAAGGGGATAATACAGTGTTGCAAGAACCCAAGATAAAAAGATAAAACATGAAGAAGAAAAAACAACCACACCAATACTTTAATTAGACAAATGGGAAAATTAAAATTTGGTGAATTAGTACATTTCACCAAATTTATTCTCCAATAATATCCATCAATTCTCTGAAAAAATGGAGTTAAAAGTTTAGTTTAAAACAACCAAGTATGGATACAACATTAAACTGATGTGGAATAAAACATAGCACACTTTGAAAGGGAATTAAAACAAAATGTGATTAAAATCTAAAAAAAGATTTAATATTTTAAATCTGAAACCTTCATGATTGTTAAAGCTACTTCACAGTTTAGTTAAAGTGACTTGCCGGCAGACCGGAACTGACTCTATAGTGAACCGGAAGTTTTTTTTATATCGGCCGTCGGCTCGTTAGCAAGCTAAATTACTTTTAAAGATAATTTTTCTTTACGATTTTTGGACCAGCGCGGTGAGTTGATGTTTGAATGTTTAAAACTTTTGAGAGATATATTTTTTGTTCTGCAAGTGGATTTTTCGGCTAATTAGCTTCGAGCTAATTGAAATGCTCAGGGTTTTAGTAGCTGATTAGCTCAATGCTAGCTCATGTTTATTGTAGCGTTGTCAGGGAGTAAAACTATAAATGTTATGACTCGTTGGTTAAATTAAGCATAATTGGTGATGATATGCTAATATGATTTACTTTAAAGCTTTAAATCTGTTTTGAATATTGTGTTCATTTGAATATTGTACAAAAGTAAACATTGAAGTTTAGTTTTTACTGCACCATAACAAGACCGACTAGCTGGAGATTTACTTGATTTTAGAAAACCTTTTTTCCATTTTGTTTGGATTCATTTATTGATTCTCAGGTTTCTGTTAATATTTGTTGTGTTAAGAGTATAGATGTTTTAGTGGTAATGAAGTTGTAAGAGTAGGAATTTATAAGCTGAATAGCTTGATCTAAGTAACATTTATGAGTATTATTTGACTTTATTTGACTTTATTTGAATGCAAACAGATTGTTGTTTGACTGTAACGTTTTAGATCAAGTGGACTTTGGCACTGATAGCTACAGGATACAGAAAATGAAAGAAAACAATACAATAATATAGAAAAGAACAGAGGTATTTCAGTTTTGCTGAAAGTGCACTTTTTTAAATCTGCAGTCAAAGGACAGGAAACATCTGGCTCTGGAGAAGTCAAAAAGCATAAAACCTGTCACTAAAATGTAAAAATAAAGTTACCTGTGCTTGAAACCAAAAAAATTTTTTTTTAGCATTATATCCTTATTTTTTTTAAAAAAAAGTCTGATCTCAAAATATTTTTAAAAAAGAAAATTTTCACTTTCATCTTTTGCACATCTCGATTTGATTCCTCGCACCCAAAATGTGACAGATCGAGTTCTGCGAAGATTACTGCAACAGAGCTATCAGAGAGCCCATTTTCTGCCGGGTTTCATGCACTGATGGATAAGTTGTTATGTGATCTCTGAATTACTCACTCAGAAGATCATGTAACAACCTCCTTGAGAATGTGAGATATTTTCCTGGCTGCAGTGGAGGGTGAAAAACATCTTGTAGTTACACAGCCAACTAACCTGTAATGCTGTTAAGAAAACAGTGCTGCAGAACAAATCCTTGCATATGTAGACCTAACACCACTCCTCGCTGAATAAACTGACATTTATAATTCATGACAACAATGTGCTGAGAATCATGTCTCAGATTTTAAGGGCTTCTTTCATGCGTTCACTCATGACAACACCTTTCCTCTGTGGTTGTATTAGAGGAAAGGTAAATATATATTGCTTATATTTGAGTCTATTTTCTAGATTTACCATGTTTGCCCCAGTCTTTGTCTCCATAACAATCCCATGATTGCATTTAAAAAAAAAAGAAGCAAAAGTCACAGCCTGGATCTTAATAACATCCTTCAAAAATCAATTTCAATTTCTTGTTTTCGTCAGCATGACGGCCGAACATGAATCGATCATGTTGAACTGACATTTTTCCCTAAAATACCAGCCGATACCAAATGAGAACGACACAGAACCTTCTTAAATGAATTGCGTCTTGATATTGCTGGCTGTAAGGGAAGTTTTATCTTCTTTGTTTCCCAGCTTTCCCAAATTAACTTTGACTTAAAGGTGACCTTGAACAGGTTCTAATAGGTCTATAAACTGTACAAAATATATTCATTATAATTTTTGCTCAATTTTATTCTTAGATAATGATATTTTAGTCTAATCAGAACACTCACACGTGACAGTGGCTGCAAAAAGATGCAAAGTTATTCAACCGTACTGCTTTGAAAAGCAGAAGTAGAGTCTCCTGCACAACCAACAAGAATTCAGCAAGTGATTTCTGGAGGATAAGTCAACAACTAAATACTCACCTTTTCCAGCAACCATTTTAAAACCTAAACATACTGGAACTGTGCTTGGGTTGCCAGGTAAATGTCAAATGGAGGCACACAAATATGTAGTTCTCCTTTAAAATACGTAAACTATCACGTTGGACCAAAACTTAACATAGTTGAAGAGATTTGGCCCCTAAAATAAATCTCATAAGCAAGATGTGGTTGCCTTGCAGATCTTGGTACACCCCCTGCTGACTGTTCTGTACCTATATCAGTAATTTAGGTTCCAAATGCTAATTTTCTTGAGAATTGGCTAATTGTTCCAAAACAGCGAGAAATTGGATGCATTTTCTGTAACCTTACAACAGAAGCAACACCGTCTCTTTTCACATTTCTCGAAACCTTGTTAATGAATACAACCACCAACCTGCTGACTGCATTTCATGTGTTTTCTCTGTGATAAAAATCAAGCCTGGGATAATCACAGCATGAAATTCAACATGTTTAAACACTGACATTGCGTGGTCTTGATGAGGTTGTGAATACTGGTCCCTGTTGTCAAAGCTTTGCTCTCTGTGGGATTAATTTAAAACTAAAAAGGGAGGCAAACTTATTTTTAGACAACAAGAGAATTTTTCATGTTCAGACAAAGCAATATAACCTTAAAAAAGTACTTCTTACTTTGTTGAAGCTTTGCTAAAAAACCTTTCTTTTATAGTTTAAATTCTTTTCATCATTATCTTTAAAAACATGGTTAAAAACATTAAGACAACAGATACAAACCAGTGATATTTTGATCAAAATATAACACAGGGTTACTGCAGATCGATCAATAATTATAGTTTAGAATGCTGAGGTAGAAAAAAGCAAAAAAGCAAACCAAAGATGTTGCAGAAATTAGAAGAAAGAAATTAGACAAACAAGATTTGGACAGGGCAGCACAGATTGTAGATAGTTTGATTCTAGATAGTTGATGTTATAAATCGCCTGGATTTATTTATTGATTTTGTTCATTGCTGAACTTTTACATCAGGCACCTTGTTGGGCAACTAACGGGTCCATAGGAACATAAATATGGAGCTGTTGATGGCAATTATCTTTCTTTGATGATGTTAGTTACAAAGGATGCTTTAATGATCACTAGTTATCACTTTAATATGCAAATGAGAGGCCTTATCTTAGTGCTAATGTTAGCTAATGCTATGTTGTACCTTGTTCATTTAATATTTCTAATTTGAGCTCTAACATGACCAAGTATTAGATGTTAACTATTGTTTTTAAGTTGAAGTCAAGTTTAAATTAGCATTAGCTGATAAATGTAGTGCTATATTATTGGTTCATTCTTCCTACTAGTATGTTTGCCTGAGAGCTAAAATGAGCTAACTTGTTACTCGTTTTAACAAATGACAAATTTATTATCTTTTTTACTGTGAGGTCATTTTAATAAAATTCTGGTTAGCTTGTCTAGAACGTCCATTTTATTTGGGGAGGTGTGAATGCGCAATCAAACTCTGAGAAGAACCAGAACAAAAAAACTGCACTTTGTGACAGTGAAGACCGATTTGAAAGTTCTCCAAGTCTGCTATTGTGGGCCAGACTAATTTGAAATCTTCAAAAATGACATAATTTAAGATTTTAAGTTATCTATTATTTCAATATTCATTAAACATGAAGACATATTAGGGATCGACAAAGAGAAACTTGTTCTTTTAAATTACGACCAGAAAAAAGTAGAAATTTTATGACAAGTCCTGCAGGAAAAAACCTTAGTCTTACTTCTGCATTAAAATGAGGAATGTTGAGTTGTACTTTGTATTTTTATTTCAAAAATAAGAAAATACTTAACCTTTTAATAGCGTCACATTATTATCAGTCGCAGGACTTTCTGCAATTTCAAAGACTCTTTTTTTCTCTTTAAAATGACCTTTCTCATAATATTCCATGTTTTTTCTGCAAATAGTAATAATAATTATTCTCATGATTAAGATATAATTCTCTTAATCCGGTACTCAGTTGCACAAAACCAATGATCTGAAAAGCTGCTTTCATATTTCTATATGAAAAAAACCTTGCACTAGGATCTGAACTCAATACTTCGGACACCCATTGATTTTATTCTTCACTTTTCTGCTTGAACACGTCAACTTCACACATAGCTGAGTGGTTTCTTTTAAATTCAGCTGTATGAAATGCAGGAATATAGTTATCTCACAGTCTTGGACCGATTCTGAAACTCTTTCTCAAAGATCTTTTCACCTCCGTCTATAATCAACTATTGATTACCGGGTCTAAAAAACCCCCACACCCTTCTGCCATACCACCCTTTCCATCACTGCTCTCCATTTCACCCTTGTTTCTCAGTGAAAACCATCACATTTTCACAATGGGAGACGTGTAATCTGCAGTATGAGACATGGTGGCACAGAAGTTTGTAGAGCCAAGACAGCTGCTCGCTTCTCACAGCTGTAATTGGTAGACCAATGCTGCACCGTTTGACAGATTGTGGAAGATAGTTTCCCCAGACATTCTGTAGAGATGTACAACTAGGGCCTGGCTGGATGTGACGTGAACACATTTTACATCACCAAATATAACATCTCAAGAAAGTCTACAGGTGGCAGCTTCTTCCAACCGAGAGCTTCAATTCTTTATAACGAATCAGCGCTGTGGGCTACTCGCATGTTTGAGTGAAGACAAAGCAAATTTTTAGACTTTACATCTATCTTCTGGAACCACTAGGGGGGATGCAAGTAAAGGTAAAAAATTACAAGTACAGCTGACAAGAAACACAACTCTATATATTAGCAGAACAACTTTGTACTGTTTTGAGAACATTTCCTTTGCACATTTTTGTTCTTAAATTCGGGTCTCAACTGCTTCTAAAAAAGCAGAAGCTCTTAAAAGAGAAACTCCTACAGGTTTTTTGGCAATAAGTGTTTTTTCGTGTCTGGAAAATGAACCTTTTGATTAAATCGCATTACCTAACAACCCCGGTGAAGCCCAGGCCGGTCACCTACCAACCCAAGCAGAGCTCCAACATTTTTGGTCAACTGGTTTTATATCCCTGCATGCGCCATGCAAGTGTTTTGTTGTTGACTTACCATGCAGAAACCACTTTCGACATTCTATTTGGTTGTGCGGGAGGCTCCACTTCTGCTTTTCAAAGATGTTCGGTTGCATAGTTGCGCATCAGCCTTTTCCAAGTACTAATGTAAACGTTGAGTTGGGGTTAAAAAAAGCCCTAAAACAGTTCAAAACTAATATCTTATTATCTAAGAATGATATTGTGAAAAAAATGTAATGAACATGTTTTGTAGACCATAAACCTAACCTGTTTAAGGAAGCATAATAGGTCAACCTTTTAAAGAAAGTACAGTATATTACATAATGTTCCCACAAGCTGACTTTATTTAACTAAACTTACACAGCCAAAAAGCAGCATTTTATAAAACTAATATCTGTAATTTTAGCACTACGTCACAATTTAAGTTGCTTACAGTGTTAGACTTTCCACCATTTTGAAAAGTCTGCAAATCAATAAATCCACAGTCAAACCTTGGTCAAGTCTCTTTGATCGATTCAGGCCGAGGAGCACAAGCAGCGTCAACCTGCAAAGAGCAAAAATACAGAGAGATTTCGGAGAAGTTATAATTTCCATTTTGATTTTAAACCTAGCCATGTTTGTTTTTGTTGTCTCTAATTGAATATTATGTATAGCTTTCAGTTAACCTGAAGCTGGTGGCTTTAATGTGAGCAAATGGTAAGTACATCAGAGTGCATGATTAATTTTGAAAGTAAAACAACCATGATCCACTTAGTTTTCTCTAAGGATTACATTACTTTTAATCTTGCTGAATAAAAGCCAAGTTGAAGGCTGACAAATGATATTAGCTCAGTGTATGAATACTTTATAGTACTCAGATTAGATCTCAACCAGACAGTTGCATGACTAAAAGAGCAGAAATGTCACATTTTTCATTTTAAAAAGAGTAAAAGTAGTTGATCTTTCAGGATGTGGACATAATATTTAATTTTCTTCTTTTTTAAGGCTGATTCCAGGTTTAAAGTTTAAGGCAGCAGGGTAAAGTCAAGAGGTTTTTAGGGAGAGATTTGACAGGAGGATAGACAGGCAAACAGAAGCTCAATTGAATAGCTTTTAGCTTGAAAACTTTATTTTAGTAGTTAAATTAAAGCGCCACTAATTTGAGTAACTGTTAATAGCATCCAGCAACTACTTGTGCCAATTAAATCTGATTAGGAGCTAATCAAAACTTGACATTTTATCTGTTAGCATGAACAGTTGTTAGCACAAGTAGCCTTTGACTTCAGTACCTTTAAGTAAGCATAGATGCTCAGTTGAGTGGCTGTTAGCTTGAAAAAGTTGTTAGCTTAAATCGCTTTGGTGGGTAATTTAGTTGTCTGCTAGTTTTTGAGTAACTGCTATAGTAGTAGCTCTTAAATAGCTCTTAGTCGGATTAATGGAATCATTGTAGCTGTACTTGTTAGCCTGAATAGCTTTTAGCATAAGTATGCTAAAAGAAATCCATCTGAGCAGATATTTTTTATTTATTTATTTAGTTTATATTTTATTGTAATCTTAAAAATGGTAGAAGATTTAAACAGTATACAAAAATAATACAGATTAAAAATCCAAATTAACTGCGTTCTGCAAAGCTGCTTTGACTGCTATTTCCAGAAAAATGCTTTTAAATAGTTTTTGACTTGTGCAGCTTTCAGTATGAGTAACCTAACTCATACTAAGTTATGTTACACTTAACACTAACCCTGCTGTAGTGGTTTCAGTTTGGAGACGACAGTAAAGTGGAGAGTATTGAGTGCTAAACCCAAAACACTACGTTAGCAAGCCTACAATCACATAAGATTTATGACATGTTTATATTTGAAAACTTTTACCGTTGTACCTCAGAGATTTTTCAAAAATCTGCAAAACGGAGTTCCTTTAAGTGCTTTTTCAAACTCTCAGAACTCCGACTGTAAAAACTGTAATTTAGCTCCGCAGAACCTATGCTACTCACTCAACGTTGACACCTTGGAAGAAAGATGTACTAAAGTCTGGAATAAACATCATAACAGAACAATTGTAGGCATACGGAGAGATGCATCTGCAGTGTTTTGGAAGGTAAAATAACTGGGTTTGTCAGTGCAGTCTGGTGGCTTGGAAGTGTGTCTACATGGGTGTAAAAACATGAGCTAAAAGCATGAAAAAAAAACAGTCAAAGTTTTAGACTTGGTCTGAAGTTTACATATAAGTTAGTTTTAAGTTTTAAATGTGTCATTGATTAATGATGCTTAAAAACAAGAATTTGGTCAAGTATTTTCCATTTATTTAGGGTTTTATTTTTAATCCATAGGTCACCATAACTATCTTTTAAACTTCACCTCCAGTTACTTCCTGACAGATTATTTAACTTAGTGCAAGACATTTTTTTCCTTAAGTGAAATAATCTGCCAGTGGAACTAGTACTTTCTTTTTAAATCAATATTAAGGAATTATTGACTTAAAACAAACTCTTATTTCTTGCTGAAAAGTTACTTGTAAATTAGTTTTGTCTTATAGTTATTTTATTGTGCTATAAAATGTCTGTATGTGCCTGGAAAATATACAATATATAATAAAAATATATAATTCTGCCCATTAAAGTTTGTTTCAAGAGTCTGTTGAACTCCAACAAACTTTGTCGGAAGAGAATAAGGAGAGTGAAGAGACTTACCTGTACAGACAATGAGATTATCCAAACACAATTAAACTCTGGGGCCTCGTCTTGCAAGGTGTGAACCCATTTCCTTTTCATCCGTAACTTCCATCCTTTACCTCCGCGCCTCATTGTTGTGTGATTAACTCCTGAGCACCAACCGGGGAGTCTATAGTCCCATTACCCGGATCTCTGGTTGGGACAAAACACTTGCTAATCGCCAATCACAAGCAGGAGCATGCCTCTCGAATCTCTGCCAGCTCTATAATGTAAGAGTTGGCGCCGCTATATCCTTGAGAGAGAGCCGCTGTCTTTCTGCACCACTTCATTCACTCAAATGCATTTAGCTTCTGCCGCCACGGTGTTTCACCACGCAAAGCCTCCAACATGGAAAGTTCACTTTATCCCCAGAATGGGATTTAGTTTGGGAGCTAGACGGATGTCAGCGACACAAACAGCATGTTGTAATTTAATTTCAGCAGCTGCATACCGGCAGCGCCGACGAAGGAGTTTTAGGGACTTTGTAGGTAGAAAAAAGGAGAAAATTTCTGGCGAAAAGCTCAGAAAATCTGAGAAATTTGTCTCTAGAAAGTTCTTTCGAGCAAATTTTGGAGTTTTGGAGCTCGGAGATTTTCAGGTATTTTTTAAAGATAATTTTAGACTTTTGAAGCTCATGGAAAAAAAAATTCTAGAAATATTACTTTCTGACTTTCAAAGTTTCAAAGTCTGACAATATCTGACTTCTATTTCTACCAAATCTTCAACTTTTCAGATATGAAAATTTCCAAGTTTTTCTCAAAATGTATGAGTTTTTTTCTAGCAAATTTTGGACTTCAGTAATTTCCAATTTTTATTCGAGATAATTTTAGAATTTTTTTTTGTCTTGCAAATTTTTGACTTTTGAAGCTCCATAAGAAACAGAATTCAGAAGTTAGAAGTTTTTTTTGACAATTTTTGACAATCTCAAAATTTCAAGTTTTTTTCTAGAGTAATTATGATATTAATCTTAAAAGTTCAGAGTTTTTCATAGCAAATTTTTGAGTTTTAATACTCAGAAATTTCCACAGTTTTTGTAGAACATATCAACGATTAATTTCAACGTTTTTGAACTTTGGAACTCAAGAATTTTCTTGTTTTCTTTTCTAGATAATTAGTTTTTTTCACACTAATGTGTTACGTTTGGAGCTCCATGTTTTTTATAGAAATATCAGTTTCTGAGTTTCAAAAGTCCACATATTTGGAAATTCTTGAGTTTTTTTTCTCGTCAATGTTTTTTCTCAAACATTTCTAGAAAGATTTTTAGAATTTTTTGTAGAATATTTTTGACGTTTGGAGCTCATTTCCAAATTTCCAGATTTTTTCCACATATTTTTTGTCTAGCAAATTCTTGACTTTCGAAACTCCTTAAAAACAATTCTAGAAATATTAATATCTGAGTTATTATTATTATTTTTTAGATTAATCTAAAACTTTTTGAGTTTTTTGGCAGAAATGTTCTCCTTCTTCCTTCAGCGGCCCTAATGGAGCATTGGATCTGGCTGTATTTGAACAGATAGCTGTACTGTCGCTTTGGTTTCAGGAGAGCAGTTTTTTCTCACTATTTGGATGTTAAAAGTTTACGTGAGACTCCAGTTGGCATGAAGGCATCAAGGCAAGAGAAAGTGCTTTAGGCTTTCAGGTGGGTATTGAATGTTTTCTCCTAACTGTGAGTATGATCTTAGCTGCAAGGTTCTGCTGGATTCCTGCAGAAACATGAGACCCAGGGATGTTCTCTTTTTTTGTTTTGTGTCTAAACTGAACTAAACTCCAGCCACAGCAGTGTCAGTGTCTGCTCAGCTAGCTCCTGCTGATAATGAACTACTGTTACTGCAGGCGCAGAGCGGGAAGACAGCTGAACTGCGCCAGGCTCGGTGAGAGCTGAAAGGCCTGCTGAGAACAATGGCTGACATGAGGAGAAACATGCAGGATCACCACCTGAACTTCTGACGGAAGGTAAACAACTTCAGGTTTATTCACAGCTTTCTTTACCCGCTAGCTAAGTTTTGTTAGAGGACCCTGGATAATCTTACCAAGTAATCCTGGTCGAGTTCCTGGTGCAAATAAATATCTTGGTATGCTTGAAAAAAGTCAAACATAACTTAAAAGTAAGTTTTCAGCAAGAAATAGGAGCTTGATTTAAGTAAATAATTCCTTAATATTGATAAAAAATACTAGTTCCATGCGTGGATTATTCCACTTATATTGTGGGAAAAATAGTGAAATAATCTACAAATGGAACTAATACTTTTTATCAATATTATGAAATTATTGACTTAAAGCAGGAAATATTTCTTACTGAAAAGTTACTTGTCTTATTTTTATTATAGTCAGATATTTGCACGAGAAACTAGAAAAATACTTAGTAAAACTTTGTAATAAAGCTCTATTTAAAGGGAAATTAATACACTTCCAACAGTGTAAAATTTGTTCAGGTCAAGCAAAAATTAATTGACAAAACACAAATAATTTTCAATTTATTACAAATTTTAGGACAAATAAAGTAAATTCCGCTTAGTTTAGATGTTTTTTTTATTTTGCTTTTTCATGACCAATATTCAAACTAAGGAATCTGAGCTGAAATCACAAATGTCTTTGTACCTAAACAAGTGAATAAATTATTTTGGTAACTTTTTCTGCCATCTCTGCATATTAAAGAAACGGATCGTCCCAGTGAGTTTAATAATTTTCTGTGTCTTAGATGATCCCGGTCTCTTCAGCGTGTGTTGCAACACATTCCCAAATGTATTTGTTAATCCTAAATAGCAGCATAACGAGTCTTTTAAACTACATCAATTCAGCCTGAGCATTTTTAATTATGATATGTAATGAAAATCATAATTGATGAATTGACTCGTGGCTGGGTAATGAATTGCTTTCCATGCACGTTTTATGCCAATTCTGCCCTGACTTTGAATAAACCCTAATTATCAACATTAGTGAATGTCAATGCCTTAATATTTAATAAATCCTGGATAATCCCATAGCAATCAATTTAGATCAAAATCGTTCTCCACCAAAAGGTAGAAAGGCTCTGCAACTGATCCACTGTTTGCCATAATGATGCCTATTTATATGCAGGAGCTTTTTCAAACTGCATGATGGATAATTACTTTATTTACTTCTAATCATGTCAATGAACCATTGTGCAAGGGTTAGATTGCCGGAGCTCGTTATAATTAATATTTTTTCTCTTTTCAGTATCATATTAGGGGATTTGGTGGAGCAAAAGGCCCAGTTTGAATGGGATTTGGTCAGTATATGCCACAGCATGAGATGGAAATAATCACCGTTTCATATAGCTGAGTGTGACATAATCATGAAAACTGCTATTCATCTCTTTGTCCCCCATTCATGGCTCTAGGTGGCTTTAAATAGATTTGTCGAGCCCCTCTGCATTCTGCTGAAACGGAAAAACCGAATAAATCTTGTTGTGTTCAACAGCTTGAATACTAATCTGGAATTAATGTATGAGAACAATGCAATATTTACATTCATTTCATGCAAAGTCAATATGTATGCAGCTAATGTTTAGTTCAGTAATTACTGACGTTAATTTAATTTATTGCCGGTAATTCGGTTTGCTTTTATCATTTGTTTGTGCCGAGATTACACCCCGGACCATTTGACTTTTCACTCCTTCAGAGGGAAACAGAAGTAGGTTCATAGTTTTGAGCAAAACTAAAAGAAACTAAAATCCTAATAGTTTCTTTCACTGAAACTATTAGGATTCTCTTTAATCTAATAGGTTCAAAGGGAACCTATGATTCAAAATTCACCTTCTGCACATTTTTTGTACTTGCATTAAAGTTTATGCTGCTTCTAAAAACAACCCAAGCACTTAGAAAAAACCACCCAGTTGTAGTTTAGCAATAAGTTCATGTTTTCTGGTGTCTGAAAACTGTGAAGTCACAAACCAGCAGCAACCCAAGCTGAGCTCCAGCAAGTTTTGTCAGCTGGTTTCACCGTTGCATGCGCTGCACAATAGTTGCTGGAAAACACACGTTTTGTTGTTGACTTTAGACCAATCAGAAATTCTTGCTGCATTCTTGTTGGTTGTGCAGGAGGCTCCACTTCTGCTTCTCAAACATGTACAGGTGTATAATTGTGCGTCTGTTTTGGAGCCATTTTTACATGCGAGTGTAAATGTTGAGTTGGGGGGATTCGGACAGAAGCAACTCATTTGAATTTAAAGAGACAACATCTAAAAACTCAAAGTCTCATTATCTGAGTCTGAATTTGTGCAGAAAATGTAAAGAACATTAATAATATGTACGGTCTCATTGAAATCAAATCAATCAATCAATTTGTATGGTATGTTCAGGGTGTTTTGCATGTTTGCTACATGGTTTGCGGAGCTTTTTATGTCTTTATCACATAAAATATATATAATTTTGAGGCTATCATAAGAAAAAGTAAAAAAGCTCCATGGCACTGTGCTTCTGTGGGCGACCCACTGTCTTATTAGTAAAAAAAAAAAAAGCTAGTCTGCTTTTGAAGAAACTGTCTTCCATTCCCTGAGCTCCACAAAGCAACCAAAGGAGCAATGGAAACAGGTGAAATATATGCAATATATGCACGGTTCAGGAAAATGTATGCATCCTCTAAAACCATAAGGCAGCAGATTTATTCCAGATTTTGCAAAAACAGAAACGCAAGCAGATTTGCGTCTAACTTCTGCACTGGTACTCTAATAAACGGAATACTAACCCAAAACCAATTAAGCTTTTCGCCATGACCGTCTCCTCTCTCTGGGGGATTTTGTGCAGCAATAAGTTTTTAATTGCTGTGGCCCCAGTCTTTTTTATCTCTCTTTTCATCTCTGTATTGCAACGTTAACGTTAATTTGCTCGACTCGCAGTCGAAGAATCAGCGACTTTAATGAGGGGTTAAAATAATCAGATTCTTACCTTGGTCACCACTGAGAATACAGCAAATTTGAAAAGTATGCTATTATATACAAGTTTTTTGTTTTAGTAAAAAAGACAAACTTGTGTTTCTTTTGATAGGGGTTTAATGAAAATATTTCCTTCTAAACGGACTGTGAAATCAGAGTTTAAAGGACTCAGCTGATATTAAAACCCAGCAGAGCCATTATTTGAGGGTACCTAGATAAGAAATGTCTCTGATTCCAGAGCAAGTGGGATCCTCGGCTATCAGATACAATAAAAGAAGACAGTAGGAAGAGCCAGTTAAGCTCCGTGTCACAATCCTTTCCATCTCCAAACCCAAAGTGAGGTTTCTCCACACTCTCCCTGAATTTTTCCCTTCAGAAATTACCATTTACCAATTACACGGTGTCAGGAGTGATTCATATCTCTTTAATGAGAAATGACAGTAGATAGAGAAGAGCCACCTCTGGTTTGATTTCACTCCCAGTGGGACGGGATGAGCTGTTGACAGAAGCGGTCGGCAGATGGAAACGGTGGAAGAGGAAGCCGTCAGTTGGGTCGGCGATGACCCGATGCGGGAACGGCAGGAAGGAGGAGAAAACCTCTCAATCACAGACCCGCTGTCCCAAAATGAACCTGGGCTCAGTGGTTATTATATACTTGAAGGGATTCATTTTGAGATGTTGCTGGATTCTTTTGCACATCTTGGAATTGCTGATCTCAGTTTAGTAGACTTTAGAAACGCCTGTTGTTCATTTAAGTCTTAAAAGTGACCAGTTATGCTTCACTGAATAGGTTAGGATATGTTTGTGGTCTATTAAAAGATGTTTAGTATAAAACTCAACATTTATAACCGCAATTATATAACCGTACGTGTTTGAAAAGCAAAAGAGGAGGCTCCTGCACAATCAACAAGAATGCAGCAAATGGTTTCTGGACGGAAAGTCAACAACAAGAGCAGTTGTAGGATTTCTCTTTTGTCTTTGGTGAAAGATCGCGAGCCTTTTCTCCTCCTAGCGCTGGGTGCTTGCATTTGTTTTGGTTGTTCTTACCCAGGATGCACTGCGCTGTTGTCCACTTCCTGCTTTTGGAGCGGTCTCCAGTCCATTTGGTGTTCACATATACCGCAGCAGAGTTCACTTCAACCAAACCAGAGTTAGCTTTTTTGATTCATAACTCCCCAAATGAACTGGATTAAAGTGGACTATACAGGGCCGGTGAGATTAAACCTTTACGATGCTTTAAGCTTTGTTTCTTTACCACTAGACTGGTAGTTTCTTTGGAGAGATGTCAAACAGTTAAGAAACTTTTCTAAAGCCTGTCATTTACCCTTTTCTTGATGTTTCAGTGGCTCAGGATTGACACATTCACCTTTAGAAACAGACCTGTGAGGAATGTTACGACCAAATTAGGTAATAAGTAGTTGACCACCTGCTGTGAGTGCTGGAGGAAAAAAAGTCCTGTGGCTGGAGAAAATAATTTTACACCTAATCAGCAAGTTAGCAATCACCCAGCCCCAGATCTTTAGGTCTGGTGCAAAGTGGCGTTGAGTGTTGTGATGTGTTGGGGAGCAGAAAAAGCTTCTCTCTGATTTTTAACCTGGTTGATTTGTTCATAAACTGACCATCAACGTGTTCTGGTTTTCTGCCGCAGTCAGAGGTGAGGGAACAAGGGAGGGGACAGGGTTATAAACAGAGGCATTCACATCATAAAAGGACTTTCTGCAGCAGCGTTGGCCTCTGCACACCTCTGCATGAACTCCTCAGCTACCCTATACTTGCATGCTTGTGTGAGTCCGTGTGTAAATTTAAACCAATTCTCCAGAGGCCGACTCCTGCCGCGTGGTCCTGCCTTGACTCTTGATTGCTACAATCAGTTTTTTTTCTTCTTCTGAGGTTAGACGGACACACAGCTTGCACTCTTACATGAAATACACTCTCCTTCAGTGCCGTTATCTGAAGAATACGTCAGGAAACGAAGAGATATTTGAAGACCACGGTTGATTATCATCTTGGAACATAATCACAAACGTCTGAGCCAGAGGCAAAGATAAATAGCATCGAC